ATATGTGGCATAACCAAGATTTGGGTTGCCAAGCATCTAAGGTTCCAAAAGATTGGGATTGGGTTCTTTAAAGAACCCACATCAACTTTTCGTACAAAACCCAAATTTGGGTTCTAGAACCCCATCGAAGAGAGGAAAAAAAAAAGGGAAGGAAGATTGAGATTGAGGAAGAAGGATGAGAAAGTAACTGGGGAAGAAGAAATATCCCAATCAGGGTTTAGAATCCAATTGAAGAAAGAGAGAACAAAGAAGAAGAAAATGGAAAGAAAGATGGAGAAGGAAGGAGGAGAAAGAAGTGATGGAGGAAAGGGTTCCAAAAGATTGGGATTGGGTTCTTGTACAAAACCTAGATCTAGGTTCTAGAACCCAATCAAAGAGAGAGAGAGAGAGAGAATGGAAAGGAAGATTGAGGAATAAGAATGAGAGAATAATTGGAGAGGAGGAAATATCTTAATCTAGGTTTAGAACCCAACCGAAAAAAGAGAGAAAAAAGAAAATGAAAATGGAAAGGAAGATGGAGAAGGAAGGAAGAGAAAGAAGTGATGGAGGAAAAGTTTGGCTTAATTTTTTTAATTTTTTGAGTAAAAGGGTCTAGGTTAGCGATTTTATTTGCCATGTCCCTATACAGTGTCTACATTAGCATTAAATTTGCCCATGTCACGTAAATGGTCCCACAAATGCCAATTTAGTAATAACTTAACGATTTGATAATGGATTTCAGAAAAATGCTAACATTTTATGATATCATCAATTACATTTGAGGTGATTTATTTCAATTAAAAAGTTTTTGAGTTGATTCATTTAAGTATGAAAGTATAAGGGCTGAAAATTTTCAAAAAAAAAGTTGAAAGGTAGATTTCAAGTAATTTGAAAAGTGCATGGGTTATTATACCCTTTTCGCCAATTTAACATTGTCATTTATTTATAAATTTTTTAATTTTTTAAATTAAATTGACAATTGGTTAAATACCAATTTTGGTCCCTCAACTTTATAGTTTTGTACAATTTTCATCCTTCAATTATTTTTTTACACTTTTTTAGTCCCTCAACTTTAAAATTACACAATTTTAGTCCATCTGTTAGTTAAGTTACACTTGGCTGTTAAAATATTCCAAAATGACTTTTTTTTTTTTTTTTATGATTTGTAATAACACATCATATAATTAGTTTACATGTACAAAAAATGCCAACTTAGATGTCACAACATTCACTAAACAATTTACAAATTAAAAGACAAGTACAATTCTACCCCACTTTCATCCTCTTTGAGGTTCTCCTTCTTTCTCACTATTCATCTTCCTTTCTCCTCTATCATTGTCTTTCTCCCCCTCC